CATGTTAAAATCCATCTTGCAATATGCAAATGTATTCTTCGTTCGTGTCTTCTACACATTTGCCTAGAATATTTTGTTACATTATGTATAGAAAATGAACGCGTCTCTCGATTCATAATATTATGTGTTCTGTTCATTCATATATTATAATTATATGGTTTGCTTACTAACATGACAGGAAGATTGAAATATAAAAATTTCAGAATCAAGTGGCATAACAGTAAGATAATATATTTTATTCGCGAACGAAGATACATTTTGAACTACATTTAGAATTTACTAACGAGCATCAGCATCCAAGTGGAAGCAAGAGGCCCAGGAAAAGAGAAGAAACAACTCGGAAGAACGTAATAAAGAAGAACATGCGAGTGCGATGCACCTGTGGCCCTTCTGACCCTCTTACTTGCACCTACCATCACCATCTTCTTGTACCTTTAATTCTACAACGTCGAGTGGCTGCACAGCTGTCAGGCCTATTAGACCATCTATCCCTTGACTACAAATTTTCGTCATGGAGATTAACTACCATCTTCACTACGAAATTCTGATGCGTCAATACTGCGCCATTTCCGCAATTCCGTGCGAAATGTTCACGGCTTGACAAAGTACGCGTGCAGTGATGTAACAGAATGATAGCATTCGCTGTTTTGAATTCAGTATTTATTGTAGAATTTAATTGATTAAAGATATCACTACACGGATGAGATAATGAATATCTCGTTGAAATTCAATTAACAGATTAGAAGATCCTTTTTTTGGAAACAAAAAACATGATGACCAAGAAAGGAATAACTACGCTTCTTGGGACAATTATTATGTTTGTTTCTCTTTCTTTTTGAATTTTTAATAAGAAATAATTTCTAGTACAATAGAAATTCACTTACATGAACTTCATTTAATGAAACCAAATTTTAATCAATGAATCTTTGCTAGCTAAAATCTACTTATTATTATATTAACTCCAATTATATAAACTTTACATCTTACAATCGGTTTATATAATTAAGTTCTACTGTATTATAAAATTTTTATTTATTTCGTAGAT